TTTCTCAAAAGGCAAACGGAGTAAAACCAGCACCTTCCTCCTGCACATTCTCAGCAAGAGACAGAAAACCAAACCATTAAAAAACAGGACAATAAAATAGAGTTATCTTCTGGTTAGTTACAAGACTTACATCCTGATCAAAGAATCTACAACCAGCATCATGCATGTCTGGACTTCCCTTTGTCCTGTCTTGATTCTTTAACAAGGACTCCTTCAACAGCATCTTTGTGTTTCACAGCAATGAAACCCTCCTCCAGCACTGAAAGATCAATGTCAAATATTTAAAGCTACTGATCTAATCAGAAAAGTTCTCATTATACACCAACCTCATGTTAGTCCATGTTCTAGACATTTTTTAACAAGTCAAGAGGTCACAAACACAACATTAGCAAATGAGCAGATCAAAGCTGTTACACAACAGACAGTGACTCATTCACCACACGAATGAATTCTGAAGTTGAACCATAAACTGGAAAACACTATCCAATATGGGAGAGGGCTACTTTTTAATGATTAAGATGAATCACGTGTGATCTTTTAAACCCTGCCAAAACAAGTAATTTAAGTTATTACAGAGATGCTTATGGCCATCTGAAGTAGAAAAGACACTCAACTGAGCCAGTTATCTCATAGTTTGTTTTAAAGCTCATCTATTTTGTACTAAATCAGCTCCATTTGAGAGGGCACAAAACCCAGCCTCACAAACTCTATACAGATGGTAAATGCATCCTATGAAAGAAAGGATGGACAAACCCATATGCTCTATGAAGTTCCTTGTATCTTACAGCACAACTGCATTTAAGCACACCTGTCAGAAATGCTGGCAGCAATCTTTTTCATGTTAAAACAAAGCTGATGCAACTGGATGTCTCTGCCCCTTAAAACACTTTCCACTCCTACTACCCACTAATGCAGGCACTGCTTTCTGATTATGTGAATTTTTGTCAAATTTACATTTTATGGAAAAAGTGTTTCCATAAAATTTTACTTCCAACAACTATCTGAAAATAAACAAAAAAACCCAGCATGGTCTGAATGTCAATTTCTCCTCTATTTTTTCCAGTAAAAGCCAACAATACAAAAATAGTTGCACTTTTTTTTCATCTATAGCACTGTTCTGGATAAACTGAACAATTAATTATCTGTGATGGAGGAGCCTTACCCACACAGTCTTGCCAAATACATACTTATAGTTCAGCTGCTGTTTTACAGAAAAAGTGTTCCAGTACATCACATCTTCCTTCTCTTTATATATCAGCATTAATGAAATAAGCATTTTTTAAAGTGTAAAAAATCATAGCAATGAATACACATTTTTATTAACAATCTGAGCTCAGACTAATGTTGCTCTCTGCTTTTCAAAAGGTTTGGAGTCCAGCTGTACACCCGTTATTGGCAAGGTGTAGCTATCAGATAAAATTCATTACTGAAACAAAGAAATGTTACACATGTATGTCTTGCTGAGGTGCAATCATGCTGTTTGAGCTGTCCAAGAAATCTGGGATCTAATGATATTTTCCTCATTAAATGCAGGGGATTGTTAATTTCTTCTATAAGGTAACAAACATGATAATTTCCCTAAATTAGCTGTACTGCATAGCTAGAATTCCAATGCATCAGTAAGGGTATTTCTACTGAAGTTTTAATAAAAACTGGTATCACTCACACTAATCACCTCTTCATGCTGTCACCAGTTTTTCCCAGTAACTTACAACTCTGAGCAATAAAGAGCTTCTATTAACAGTGCAGAGCAATACCACCTACCAAAAATAGAATTCAAGCCCAATTATTACTCAGATTTTTATTTTTTTTACTAGCAACACTTCAGACAGTGATGAAATTAAATGCAGATACACGTTTTTCCATGATCACTTTGTAAAAGTGGCAGTCATGCAGGAGATTTTCAAAATTAAAGAAACAGGATTATTAGACCACAAAATTGACCCAGGGCCTTTGGGCATACAGAATACTTACAGTTATAATTAATTTTTTCGTGTGGCAAGATTTCAAAACTGACTGTGGAATTCTGGAAGCTGTTTCAAATTTCCTCTATTCCAATACAGCAATTCTAATTACAAATTAAACGACTTAGCATTCAGTTCAAAATTAAAACTACTTCAACACATGTTAATAGCATATCTAAACTCTTGCTAAGCTGTTGTATAACAGGGGTGTACACTGCCCTGATCCAAGCAGGACATGGCAGGTTGCTCTACCTCCACACCTTCTAACAAGGCAGAGGCTGCAATCAGGGCTCCCACGTATCTGACAATTACAAAAGTGAGGCCTCAGAGCATCTCCCTGCTTACCAGACCACACTGAGCTCGGACCATTCCCCACAATCTTTTTGCCAGTTCTTCTCGACACCAGCAGTGCTCCCACAAGTGAGTAGTCACACTAACGAGACCCAGAATTGCCAGTAAGAAGTTGCATGGTGTAACACAAATTTCTATCAATCAGTACCAGTAGACACTTAAGCTGGTTCTGCACAAGAAGAGGCAAGACATGTTCCTCCTGGGCAACTCAATTCCAGAAGTGTTTCAGTGTCATCCCTAATTACTAGGATAGTGCCAGGAAGAAGGGCATCATGTCAAAATTAGCATAATTAAAAGCAAATAAAGAAACACTGAGACAGGGGGAATATGTGCACCAAAATGTATTTACAACTTTGATGTCAAACAGAATTTTAAACACACAATACAGGTGGTGTTTAATTATCAAACTGAGTTTTAAAAAAGGACACATCTTTACAGCATCAAATGTTTCCCTCACACATACAACACCATGTGTACCTGCTTTCAGTATTTCACAAACAGACCTGAACCCCTATTTTGTCAAAACAGTTGTCAAGTATAAGCTGTAAAGGCAGAAGCAAAACATGAGAACGCTATGTCAAGAGAATAGAATTTAAAGTTAAAACTAAACTGAGGCTGGAGTTCTGGGCAATAAGGCAAAATAATTATACATGTGGAAAATGTAGGAAAAATTAAATTACTGGAGGGCAGATCTGACATCTGTGCTGGCAGCGGTGCTGGAGATCATTCGTTACAGGCATTTCACATCAAGTGCTGCAGAAGGTAATTTAAGTAGTGATGACACCAGCTCCTTCCCATCTCTTGCCCTAGTGACATTCTTTTTTCCATTACAGGGGTTACTTCTTCCAAAAGTGACCTTAGGCATTTTACATGTCAATGTTTGAGAAACCAAACTCCACTCACACAGGCTTTTTAAAATAAAACCCCACAGTTTTAATATTAAAAAACATTTATATTTTATGGTATCTTAAAACAGCAGCTACATGCCAAGTTGTAACAAGTGAATTAAATTTTAAATCTCTGATGAATTTTAATATTGTGTCCTTTTAAAATATAAATAATTTAGCATTTTCACTAGCTAAAACCTAAATATTCTTTCATTTATGCTGTAATTAAAAGACCTATTGGTCTCTAGCACTGTATAGTTTTGATTTCTTAAGAATCACCCCTTTTTCAAACTAGAAAGAATTTTCAGAAAAATAATTCAGAAAACTATTTCTGGTGGTGTCTGGGAGATTACCTCACATTCATTTTGCAGTTCCAGATGCCACATTATTTAAAGAAAAAAGTGTACGCACACGTATGAGTTATGAAGTTGACCAGAAGACACAGCTGGAGGCAATTCTCACAGGCCTATGCTCTATCAGAAACCCAGCTGGTATTAGAACATGTCTAAATTACTTCTATATGGCCCAGGATGTAAAATGAAAAACAAACGACTGTTTTTTCCCCCCGCTGGATAATTTTTAAGTGGGCATTGCTGCCACCACATGGCCAAACACCTGAACTACGCCGACCCTTCCTCTGCACCTCGCAGATGCCCTTCTACAAGCCCTCTCATTCCAACTTTCTACTTCAGCCTCCCACAAAGCTCATCACTGCCACTGATTTCCCAAAGTACTTTCACCTAAAAGATTAGAAGGAACGTAAAACATTCAGATCTTGCTGACAGTCTCTCCCAAGTATAGGCCACCAGCTGTAGGAACAATTCAGTGCTGTAGAATTCTTGCCAAACCCATATTCCCAACAATAGAAAATCTTACAAGTACCAGTCCAGGTAACTGAAGCCTGACTGATGTGCCAACAAAGGCTGAAACAGTTCCTTTCCTGAAGTGCCCCCTTGAAACATCCTCCCAGAAAGCCTGCTTTTATAAACGTGGACTCAGCACACTACCTATCTCCTGCAGTGGCTCAGCAATTTCTGAGCAGGTTCCTCATACTGAGGAGACATGGTGAATTAAGTCATCACAGAAAGGGAGTTCCATAATTTCTCACACACAATAAGAGGCAATCTACAGTCATTCCT